ATTCAAGTTGAAAGTCCTCTAGAAGAGGCTCAGAGAGAATGCAGCATGGTTTTTGCACTGGGATTGACCTGTGGTCTTGTGCTGGATAGCTTCAGCTGTCAACGTGATGCACCTGGGTAGAGGGATCCTCAATTGGGGAATTTCCTCCATTTGACTGGCTATGGCCATGTCTGTGGGGTATTTTCTTGTTTGTTGAGTGATGTGAGAGGGCCCAGCCCACTGTGGGTGGTGCCAAACTTGGGCATGTGGACCTATATTGTTTAAGAAAACAGACTGAGCGCAGGCCAGGGGAGCAAGCCAGTAAGTAGTGTTCCTTCATGGCCCGTGCTTCAGCTCCTGCCTCCAGGTTCCTGCCCTGAGTTCCTACCTTGAGCTCCCTGATTAACTGTGACCCGGGAGATATAAGCTAAATAAATCCCCTCCTCCCCAAGTTGGTATTGGTCAGAGTGTTCTGTCACAGCAATTGAAGGCAAACCACAACAGGTTTCTACATTTCCATTGACTAGGGCTCACTGGAGAGAAAAGCATTGTTCACAGGGCCTGAGAAGTGACCCTTAGACTGTGGACCTTAAGCAGTTCATCAGTAAAAATCTCAGAATGTTCCCCATATGTGCCATTGATTTAATTATTGAGACAAGGTCTCATGTAGCCCAGACTGGATTTGAACTTGCTATATAGCCAAGGATGGCTCTGTACTTCTGATCCTCCTGTCTCTGCTTCCCAAGTGCTGGGATTGCAAGTGTGTGCCACCATGCCCAGCCACAAGCCATTTATTAATAGATAAGAAATATACAGGATCTACTTCATTGATGTGCCATGCACATTATAATGAGGTATAAATAAGCAAATTTAAAAATTGGTGTAACTAAGACAGAAGTTCTACTTTTGTCCCACACTTGAGGGGACAGATTGCTTATCCCTTGGCTTGTCCCACAACCCTGGAATCCTGAGTCTGTCACACACACCCTGTTGGCCATGTTCCCATCTCTAGTTGAGGCAGTCTACACTTCTCTAGTGGTGGCTAACGACATAGTCTTTTGTTATAAGAAAATCCTTGAAGATTTCTTGACTGAGATTCAACAGAGTCTGCCTCAAGTCATCAACAAGCCAACATTTGGAAGATGCATTTGTTAGTTTTCTCATCACTGTGACAAAATACTGACAGAGCAACTTGGAGGAAGGATTTTATTGGCTCCAAGTTTTGGGGTAAAGAAACACGGCAGAGCTCACGGCAGAGTGACTCCTGTCCATGGGAATCCTCCCATCTCAGTGGATCAGAAATCAGAGATCTCTAGTAGGTGCTGAGCTGGGCTATAATCCCTAAGTCCTGCTCCTCAGTGACCCATTTCTCTAGCTAGGCCACACCTTCTCTAAAGCTTCTACAACTTCCCACCATCTGGAGACCAAGTGTTCAGACACGTGAGTCTGTGGGGGACATTTTACATTCAAACCCTAACAGAAGAACAATAACTTTGCATTTTTAGGTAGAAATTCATGCCGGGAGGTTCTGCAGAAATGGATATCACTGTGCTTGGTATTTCTGTCCTTCACCCTCTACTTTGGGATTATTCTTAGAGTGCTGTGTTTTTCTCTTGTGCTATTAAAACTGTCAGGCTAAAATTAAGCTTTCTGTCTTGCTTACTCCATGAGGACTGCAGACTTGGCTACATGCTTTTCAAAGAGCTTAAGGTTTCCAGTACATTTCTGCTGCCTCATACAGCCAAAGAATGCCACAGACTGACAGCTCTGGAAAGGCAAATGTTCCACATAGCTCTGCATCCTTTTATTTAACTTTTTGTGATAACAAAGCCCAGGATATGCACACGATCAGAGGACCCAGAAAGGGCAAATGACCACTGAAGAACGACCATGTACTCTGGAAGTCATGACCATAAAACTCAGAAGGGGACAAGACGTGGCTGGAACTCACAAGCCAGAAGTCAGGCTTCTGATTCCAGAACAGCTGTCAGTCACCTTCCGGCTCAAAATTTCTGCCCTGGCTTCAGGATGAATGAGCGGTTGATGGCACAGAGCTGGGCTCTCAGTCTAAAGAGAATAGTTCTTAACACTGTCTAGGTATGGATCCATGGATCTATGGATCACTTTGCATTGTTGATGTGGCCTCTCCATCTGATCTATGGAACTCTGTATGAATCTGTCAATTTCTGATCATCTCTCCTTCAGGCTTAGGCCCTGTCATCTGGCTATAACCACCAAAGGTCTTATCATAGGAGAGAAACCCTGTGGTTGGAAGAATGAATGCAGACAAAGTGGATTCAGAGTGAGGCTTACAGACCAGCTCAGTGCCTTGGATGTCACTGGTGCTGCCTTCCCTATTGCTGTCTCTCTCCTGGCCTGGTGTGTCTCCTCTCACCACCATGATGAACGATGGCTGCGAATGCAGATACGTTATGGTCAATCTTCAGTGGATTTTATGAATTCCCAGGAGTGTTTATGTGTTGTGAAAAGAAGAAGGGTTACAAGAGGGTAGGTTTACAGGACAATAGTTCGAATGTAGAGAACATTTTCCAGACATGGACACTTGTGTCTCATCCTCTTCTGAGTTCTATGGCCATGACTTCCAGAGTACATGTTGGTGGGATATGGTTATGTGTTCAGCCATGAGAGGCTGGGGACTTTCTCTCTTTGGGGAGCATGTTGTGGGCAACAGTGCTCTTTTTCACTTGTCAGTCAACACCAGGTGGAAGAGTCCTTGGGCGGGCAAGCAGGTATCCAGCCTTACACACCTGTCTCCCATTTCTTCCTGTCTTTATTTCTTGCTTTTATTCCATCACTTTCTACCAAAATGTTACCCGAGGCAACCAGATGTCCTGGCATCTTACTCCATCCACAGAGAAGTCTCTTATTGAGTCCATACACGCCTCAGGCTCTGTTTGTGCTATAACAAAAGTAGGGAAATGGGAGGCGATGGGAAATAGCTACAATAAAAGATGCCTCATGGGTGGAGCCAAACTCCGGGAAGAAGGATGAGGGCCAGAGATCTGCTCTTTTTTTTTTTTTTGTCTCTAACTCCCCTCCCCAAGGATAGTCCCATTCACACTATGTTTAAACCTGAATAAGCTGTGTTGGGAAGCAGTCCAGGACTGCACATCCATCCTACTCACTCCCAGATCTGTTTATATGCAGCCCAGGGGAGTAGAACTGGGGAGATCTAGGTTGCTGTCATTGCCCATGTCCAGTGAGTGGATATTGCCTCCATTCTAAGTATGCCACGATAGGAGGGCAAGGCTTTGAGCAGCTGTAGAAGGAAGAGAACAAGACCAAGACTTCACAGGAAGCTCAGTTCAGTAGAATGAAGACTGTTTAACAACCAGGATGTTTAAATGGAACAGGCTCTTTAGAGAGCTGTAACTACTGCTGACAGATCCAGACAGCTACACTGATTCGGTGTATTTGGTCACTGTATTCAGTGAGGTAATAGAGATAAAGATGAAGGTGGAGGTAGAGACACACAAAGAAATGGCTACGGTGAAAGTAAGGGTGAGTGCATGAGGCTGTGTGTTCAGAGATTTTTGTTCTCTGCATCTGAAGGCTGCACAACACGATGCCAAATCACAACAGTGTTGATCATTTCACACAGCCCTGTGTCATTACCACAGAACCCACCAGGAAGGAAGAAACCAGGTGAGTTAGAACGAAGATGCTCATAAGTCACAAAATAAATTAGGAGACTGCTAGCAGAGTTGGATGATGTCTATGCCATGTGACCTCTATGCACCATGTTCCTTACTTATACCATGTGAAGACGAATTGATATCCACCAGATGGTATTGTTGGGAGGAGCAAGTGACAACAACAGACAGCTGTGAGTTTTCTATGGGCTATACTGTTTTAGGTATTTATATTAACTTGTTTAATTTTCACAACTCACTGTTGCACAAATGCTGTGTTACAGGCAAAGAGGCTTAACTTATTCAAGGCTATAGTGCTAGTAAGAGGCAGAGTCAGGATTTAACCCCAGTAGACATCTACATTATTCCATGAAAGATTTCAGCATGGTGTCTGGTACAAGGTAAGCACTCAGTGTGTCAACTACAACTATAGTGTGAGGTTGTCCATAGGGAAAGCTCTAGAGTTGTTCTGCCTTACAGCGGGTAAAGTAACTAAGGTCCTTTAAGCTTGATGTCTTCAACTGTGAACTGAGCATAAAAATGTCTATCTCATAGGGAAGATCAAAGATGAAAGGATTTAATATGTAAAATGTTTAGAGAAGTCATAGACAAATAAGTGCTCAATAAATATTACTTGATACCATGTAAACATGACTTAGATGACAAACACATACACAGGGGTTTAAGATGTTAATATAGGGGCTGGAGAGATGATGCAGTAGTTAAGAGCACTGGCTGTTCTTTCAGAGAACCTGGGTTCAGTTCCAAGCATCCACATGGTGGCCATTCACTGTCTGTAACTCCAGTTTCAGGGGGATCTGATGCCCTCTTCTGGCTTCAGGTACACGTACACACATGCAGGCAATACACTCATACAAATAAGGACAACAAATAAAATACTAAAAAAGATATTAATACATCACAAAGCTATGCCCATATCTTTAACACCCACACATACAATGTTCAAGGGGTGTCCCAGAGGAGCAACGAAGCATCACTACCAACTGCTTCTTGACTTTACAGCAGAGAATGTGCTCACTTGATTGGCCTTTGTGTACCCAAACCACAGTTCCTCTACATGCAAGTCCCCGATCCTAATGGGTGATGGTAATATTTCTATAGGTAGTTATTCTCTTTGGAAGCCTGTCTCTCAAACCTTGAATCAAGCGAAATTTCCAAGATTTGGCTGCATAAAGGGAAGTGATTATACAGACAACACTGGGGACAAAAATGAGATGCTATCCCCTAGCCTTTTATGTAGTAATTTGGTAAGAGATACCAAGGACAAAGCTGGAGATGAAGACTCCACCTCTACTACAATCCACAGAGCCAGTCCTGATGTCAAGGGGAGGGGTGCTGCTTTCCTACCTGGTGAGCTTGGTGCCGATCTGCTGCCTCAGCTCCAGCCTCTCCTCATCTGTCTGCCTGGGGAGGATATTCTTTTCTTCTAGTTCCCGCTTAGAGGGTCTGTTGCTGAGTTTGATGGCCAGGGAGTCCTTCCTGCAGACCTTCATGGCCAGGGAGCCTGTAGGAGGGAGAAGTTAGTCAATTAACATGGACACCTATTTGCTTGGATGCCTATGAGGCCAACTGTGGGTGGGTCATAACGTCAAAGGTAGGGAGAAAGACACAAAGGGCTTAATACCTGAGAGAGAGCATCTAAAGTCCCAGTTCTCAGTATTTCTGCTGTCTCTACACCTAGCACCGTGTGGGGCATTTTTGGAGGCAAGGGGAAGCTGTGACTAGAGTTCTCTTCAGAAATCCCCAGCATGCGGCAACATCACAAAGGAGGGCAGAAACTGCTATGCAGTGCCACCGACTGAAGAGGTGGGGAGAGGACTGCAGCCTGAGTAGCCAGGGAAGGCTTCACAGAGGAGCGCTGCTGCAAGGAGAGGGAAGATTCCCACAGGCAGCAGGCTGGTGGCAATTCACATTTGCACATGCTCAGTACTGCATGGGTGCCAGGAACTCCCAAGATACAGACAAGAGCAGCTACCTCGGGGCTCAGGGCACATGAAGGGAGATGATGCCATGTGGACAAATGGTTATGAGGCCATTTGGGGAGAAGAGTGGAGTTAGGGACTG